AAATGTGGAATATGCGTTGACTACTTGACGACGGTCTTTTTCTGCACATAATGGCGTTCCTGTTGACAGGATAAGATCCCCTGGAATTCCGCCTTGCCCATCTTGAGGAGAACTACTTGAAATTTGTCATCACAGAGCGACCTCTCTCCAATAAAGATCATCGTAAACATCAATGTCTGATATTGTTATCAATGTGATATAAATGACTGAATTTCTGCTGGTTCAAATGATTTTTTCTCAATATGCTGATGCTTTTTAGCTTTACTCTGATGTCAGTTTAATCACTTTTCGCCGGTTTTTTGAAACGTAGTTACTTGGTCCTCTTGGTTCTTGGAATCGAAAGTGGACGCTCTTAGCGTTATTCTCAGGGGATACAGGTACTGTACGGTAGTGCAACTCTGTATTCTTCCTTAGCTTCCTGTTCCGCCCACTGTGGTATATCAAAAGGATGATAGCTCTAGACAACCCTTTATGGAGGCAAAGGAAAATTATTAACATCTGTATTTATGGGGTACTTACAGAGTGTTCCACACGGTCGTGCCACAATGTCCGTGAGAGGGCGAGAAGCATCCAGTCAAGGATCCTCGACCCGAATTGGCTGGCATTCTGACCAATCAGGGCGTGCCTACGTTCGGCCCGTGTCGTGCACGTAACACATCCGTCCAAGTGATATGCTGTTCGGTTATTAGGGACGGCTGGCCCCCGAACACCTCCCCCTTGAGAAGGCTGTTCAACGGACTGCTGCTTTGAACTCTACTGTGACGACTCATGGAAGTTCTGTCGCATTAAATGGCATTACGTATTTGGACACAAATTAAATTTTTTTATCTTCTGGCAGTGTGAACTCGCATGCTTTATAATCTACTAGATAACAATGCGAAAGTTTGATGTAGCGTTGGTTTGATAGCGTGGATTAGTTTACTTCCAAAAAGCTATCGCATTACAGTTTGTAATTTCGCTCCTGTTACGAGTGACTTCCAGTTTGTAGCACACCGGGACGCCTCAACAAGTTCAGGATTGAACAATGTGTGTTGCCGTCCTCAGTTGTATCCGAAAACCGGCATAGTGTCTAAAGTTCACCACTAATGGTTTCAGAGGCTACCGAAAATTGAGTTCAGTGCTTCCGTTGTTTGCTGTGGAACGAAAGAGATGGCCATTCTAGGAAAGGGAGGAAATTGTTCAAAAGGCGCGAATTAAAAAAAACCACTAAGTAAACAAAAGTAGTCACAAAGTCTACACAAAGTCCATGAGTTCACGGATTCATTCTTGTTTTCACAACTCGACCTGTACCGGTGGATCGACCGATTCTCAACGAGTTGCTGAAGGAAGGCTAGCCTAGCTTAAGGTGAAATACCATGATTACGTTACCAGCAAGGTGGGAATGCGGCTTGTGTGTACGGTGCCCACTTCCCAATGCTTTGGCGGGCTATGTCGGAGTGCCACATGTGGTACCCCATCCAACCATAGCAACAAAAAACAGCAGCGAATTACCGGGTGTCCAGTTTCAACGGGTATGAGATGGCAAACGCCGATGCATCTAGATCGGGAAACTGCACTCACCTTTGCGATAATGTTGGTGTGACAATGATTGTGAACTTTTAAATCCACTTTTACATTCTATGTCGATCGTCAGTCCCACCAATGTGTTCTTCTTGATGGCTATCAGGTGGATGTTGTTCTGTTCGCCTAGCTTGACATTTGGCTTGCTCGTCGCCAAGCGAAACGACATCATGTTTGCGCGGTTTACAGGGCAACTTCTCCTTACCTGTTTGACTCTGTCGTCGAGAAGAGTTTGTATAATTTTTATGCATATGGTATAGCGTAGTTTTTAAAGACCAGCTGAACTGAATTGTGATTGGCTAGCAGGATTTCATAGACCTCGGATTCTCATTGGTCCTTTCCAGGTAGTGATGCGTTGTGGTCTGTATCGTTAATAATTGGCCAATCAAACTTTTACCTTTGTGTTCGATCAGGTGGTCATCAATCTGTTCGCCAAATTGAGCAATAATGTTGCATATGTGTCATCAGCAGCCGAGTTAACCTAACCACTGTAGGGCTGTGGATGCCTCACCCGGCTAACTGATATTCCCGTGCATTTCCAAAGTCTCTCAAACACTAGCAAGGTTACTTTCACTAATTGGTGAAAATGTTTGTCTTTCGGATGAGTTTGTTTGTCTGTGATCAGGTTGTCTTTGTATTTGTGACTGTTGGGATCAACGATGATATCGTCTCCGTGGATGAAGAAACAGTTGCGACCAGCTGCCGAATCCTCGCGGATGGATTGGCAAAAACCGGTTCAAAGAGTTCCACACAGGAGTCTCATGGACAAAGTGAGAGAGAATCGCCTGATCCTATTATTCGTCAAATGGGGAATGCACTGAGTGCTTTGGACGTGAGTACACCTCTGACGGATTCATTGTGACCACTCCCTCATATCAGTCATCTAGTAGCCTTTCGTTTGTATGAAACGATAAACGTTTCGTGGCCGCTGATAAGTAACCAGGTTTGACCAAGTAACTACTCACAGTTAATGTAAGTTCTACGTTATTCTTGGTGTGGTCTTACCAATACAACACCCAGGTGCTGTTCGGAGTGTCGTTTTGTGTCGTTTTCTTGACTAAAAAAATCAACCATGGACTGTGACCAACTGGCGGCGCGTTCCATTTCGGAAAAGGTTGCATCGGTAATTCATATTTCTTTCAAGGACCCGTGAATCGAACCAAACATGAACATCCCTACCGCTCTTTTCTGGGCTGTCAGTCTGTCGACCCCCGTGTTTCCCTAGTGTAGTATGGAAGTAAGGCTCCAAAGGGGTTGTTAGGACTGAACGACCCCTTGTTCCACATCACCAAGTACCTCGTGTAGAGTAGGCGGAGCCTAAAATGTCACGCCACAGTAGTAGAACTCAAAATACTAAGGACAAGACTCTCCCAAACGTTTCATTACTCTGGTTGCTCTATCTTCATGCTCTCATCTGACCAAGTTTTAACTCTACCAACAAACATGTTTTCTTGCTTTCTAGGTGAACTACCATCCGAAGTCAAACAAAAAGATACCAAACCGTCAAAAAGCAAAGTTTTTTCAGCATCCTATCAACCTGGGAGTAAAAGGCATTTTGAAGCGATTGCTTCTCATCAGACAGAAGGCAGTCCTCCTTCATACAGAGCTACCATTCAAAAAGTTGGCGGGTATGGTTCGGCAACGCCACGCATTACGGAGGAGAGTCCGGCAGACAGCTCTGGGCAACAGTGGTGTTCCAAGCAAAAACCTCCCGCGGAACCCTCACCCCCACCTTCCTCCATGGCGAGAGGCTCCTGCATACGATCCAGTAGTATCGATCGTCCTCTGATTATTCCGGACTATACCAGTACGCACGTCACTCCATCGCAACGATTTGTTGCTCGAGACCGCGCAACAGAGCCACGCAAGCCTTCAACAAAGTCCAATTTTGAACAAACGCACACCTATGAACAGGAACCCAGGGAAAAGGTAATTTGGTATTCTTTGTCATTTTTGTTCTTCTGACCATATGATGCCTGTGGAGTGCGATTTGATGATATTCGCGTACAATTAGCGTGTGTCATGTACAATTCGTCATCAAGTAAAATACCATCTAGTCTGAAAAAGATTATCTTTAGGACAACCAACAGACCTCAACGAAAGAACCCGCTGGTTCGTACCATGTTTACTTGATGTGCTGGTCTACGATCTTCAGTGGACACGAATCCTGCCGCTATCCGCTAGTAACCTTGAGTTCCTTAAAGGAAACTACTCACAAGGTTGCTGAAAACTCCTCGACCGGTTTCGCCCTTCCAATTCGGGCTCATCAGGTAGGCGCAGTCCCCGAGTTTCCGTCAACCTTATGATCTACTTGAACCCAAATTGGACTGTTTTCGAGAAATACACTCATTTGCAAATCAATTTGGTTTTCACGAGAGACCCAACTGAATCTCTCATTTATGATATTCTACAACTGAATGTGCTGCACACAGGCCGCCTCATGATTCAGTTGGCACGATATTCGAGATATCGCAGTATATTTTCACAAAGGAAACTACTCACAAGGTTGAAGAGTTTTCATCAACCTTGTGAGTAGTTTCCTTTACTATCTTATTTTCTTTCCTGTGTAGTCACTGTAACTGACTGCTCAGTGACATTCATCGTAATTTCTTCATTTGTTAGGATCTCATGCCAAGCGATAATGTTTACGCTCAACTAAGCTTATCTGAAAAATGTCACTCTGATATTTCTTGGCGCAGTCACTCTCAAATTTTTTCCATGCCCGCGGCCCTCACAATTAAGTTCTTGGGCTTCACACCATCGAAAACTGCGAACAAGAAGTCACGGGTGTTTAAAAGTGATCCATCGGTTATATTGCTCATTAGTTACGTTCTATTTACCCTCGTAGTAGCTCAGGTTAAGGGGCGAACGTACTTACAGCAAAGTTCGTGTTTCCAACCCCGACATCTTGACCGCTCCAGTTTAGGCTTGTAAAATCTGACAGTACATCCCAGTCCTCGTTCTATTTCGCGGTGCCATGACAGCTAAGCACCGAAGTTTTGTTACAGTTGAGCACGTAGTTCGCTTGCGAATCAACCTATCAAGATTTTAGGAGGAAAGCTCTTCGCGGGAAGTCGTTTACTAGCGAACACCGACTAAACAGTCACAAACTATTGGACAGGAAAGTAAATGTCTCATATGCACCATGTTTTTAAAAACTGAACATCCGCACGCATTTTCTTGAACTTTCGTGAATATTCATTGACTAGCACGCAAGTGTAAACGAACGCTGGAAAGCTGTTCCACAAGTTCCGTAATAAACCCCACCTTCCATTAAACGCAAGGCAAAGTTACGAGAAAACGCATACTACTCGCGCGCCTCATCAGTAGTATCTGCCGGTACAATAGTAGCTCAGGTTAAGGGGTGAACCTACTCACAGGAAGGTTCGTGTTTGTAATCCAACCCGGCATCTTGACCGCTTCAGTTTAGGCTTAGGAAACCTGACAGTATATCTCAGCCCTCGTGCTTCCTCGCGGTCACATGGCAGCGAAATTTTAGGCATATAGTTCGCTTGCGTAGCAACCTAGCGAAAATGTTATTTTCATAATTCTACACGTACTGATTTGCGTTGAATCGCGTTTCATTAACATCTCTCTGGTTGCTCATTCTCGTTTTATTATTTCTGTGGAAACGTTGCTCGCATGTGGTACTCGATTTGAGAATAAAAATCACCCTCGGTTATTGTATGAAACCTCACATGTCATGAAATCATTGGCAGTGGCAACTTGTCAGATTTGGTGACGGTCTTTACCGATCCTTGGCACTTCGGAATCCTTCTGGGTCGCTTCTATGTCACTGCAGTTCCCCATCAAGGCATGACCAAGCAAAACGCACCAGAGATTAGCCAGTGCAGAACACCGAATATTGCGAAAAACCGCTTCCGATGAAGTCTCGATTGATGACTACAGTTATAAATGGAACACACGGTTACAATAGTCGCATAAAGACAGTTTCGGTTATCTAGGTCACTCCAGCGGGTTGGTCGGCCAAGACAGGTTCAGTACTTTCACTTAATCAATGATTGGTTAGGCTGAATGGTACCGCAGCGAGGCATCGGTGTTGAACACTGATGTCATGCTGTCGATGATGATGATGACGACGACGATGATGATGATGATGATGTTGTTGTGGATGATGATGAGGATGATGATGATGATGATGATGATGATGATGATGATGATGATGATGATAGGCTGAATGGCAGTTGCCCAAGATATTTCGAGTGCGATTTGTCCACAAATCTTGCAACCATTTGGTGTCACTCGACACCTCTCGCTGAACAGTGCAGCTGAACTGATTTGTTGATTCGCGCTTGTCACGTTTCGCTTGTGGTGTTATACTGCGTGACGAAGTCTGCTTAGCAATTCTTTGAGCTAGATCTGGAGTCGTTCGACCGATGCATCACGCGAAGCCAGTGAGGCTGCGAGGCCACGGTGGTTTTTGGCATTTCCCTCACGAAAGCGTCTGGTCTCGTCTTCCAGCTAATGTAACATGAACAAACTGGAATCTGTTGTTGGCCTTTTGCTCCGCCGTGAATTGAAGGACAGAGTGTGCCGAATTACCAGTGTTCAGAATAACCTTTGTTATAGTATGAACTATAAAACTGTCATGGACATAAATTAGGTAAAATAGCGACTAATCTAAGTTGGCTGAAAATGCCACATTCGACTTTATTCATAAAAATACCAGTCGAAAGTGAGCCAAGGAAAGAATTCATGGCTGTTCTATCCATCTGTCTATAGATGGAAATATTCACCAATACCTGTGTTAAAGGTATTTCACGAAAGTAACCGTTTCAAGCCCCACACGATACAAAAATTTGATTGGATCACATCGTAAGGACTGGAACCCCCTCCGGCTCTGGAACCGTAATGATGAAATAGATACATGAAAAAGACATCATAAGTTTATTGCGATCAAGCCAGTGTGAATTTGTAGGGAATTGAGGCCGTGACTGACTGGTATCGCTTCTAGGACACGCTTAAGCACTCCATCATCCACATTCGTAGCCAAATGGCTACTTGAACATCTAATCGATGGTTGGCTTGTCTGGCCTGGAGACTTGACGACTTTCCTGAAGCGGTTCCAAGTCGGTTTGCACATCCTGGAGTTATTTTCGAGAATCTGACCCAGATTATAGGACCAGAGATACAGTTAACTGTTTCGAACGGTGATTCACTGGTACGAAGAGCTGAAACGACCAGACAGCGTATTCATTTAGCTTTGGGATTTATATTCTGGACAGACTGAGTAAACTCGAAAGCGTCACGAAGACTATGGACGAATAGATGTTCCCGGATAGGCTCTAACGGCTCCTTCAGCCGGCATACAGTCACGTGTTAAGGTGAGCCACTGATGTCCAGTGTCGCATATGGTAGATAACCCTGTTTGTGCCTGTACAGAATTTCAAACTGAATATTTGTGATGCATCCACTGTTTTTGAGACTCTTTATTGGGAGTCATTCAACTGGGCCTCCATCTTCTTCGGTTGTCTTCATGAATCGGCATCCGTCAGAAGCTACGTTTTATCAACATAATCAGTTCCGGCTGGGTTGAAATCCCAGGTAGGCCGGACGTCGCAAGTCTCGTAACAGCCAAACAGCATCTTCGAGTGACCTCCGGAACGACAAAACAAAGTTGGAGCCGGGTTTCTATACGGTACTATTAAGGTAAGACATTAATTCACAAAATATACAAACCTCGATAGTAGATAGTCGTTCACAACAAATGGTCCACTTGGACTACAAAAGTACAAACCAAATGAGCAAACCGGCTCCCACGTGAGACAGTCACACGTGCACAAAGTCGGCCACCAGCGGCTACATGACCTCAAGGTCAAACGAGTGAAGTGGTGGGGGAAACAAACACCAGTTCACGTACACGCACTAAACACAAAAGTGGAGTGGGAGTCACAAACAGGGACAGAAGCAAGGTGAGGGAATTTCAAATGTCAAAGTAATGGATCATTTATGGAACACGTCGTTACGAGAGTGTCTATATCACTCGTTAACGGTTTCAGTCTTAAATGCTTCTGGTATGCCTTCTGATATGACTACTGAATTGTTTGGCTGAATAGATCCTCTCAACCCGGTTTTCAAACTCAATTTGGTTCCGTTTGGCACGAAGCGTCGTGCCCAGTGTGTAACGCTTCAAGCAAAGTATGAACATACCGGTGTAGCTGTTTCCGAAAAGTCGCTTTCTTGAACTATGACAGTAATCAAGCAATGTGTTGTTCGTCTTTTTGAAAGCGGTTGGGACAACTCACTGAATAGAGTGCATCTCGTCCGGGTTTGGGCAACCTGGCAGTATCTGTTTTCATTTTCGTGTTTTTGAAAAGTTCGTTCCTTTTGACCTGACTCGCATGCCACCTATTGCTCCTCGCCTTCTGACAATCTTGTCAGCTTGATATTGCGACAACATCACTGTTAGACACCTTCTTTCATTCGCTTCAGTTACGGAAAACAGAACGATCTCGTTAGCTCACAGACTATTCTTGTTCATCCCTTGGTTTGATTGCTCGATAATTTTCGTTCCATTTGGAATATAAGGAAAACCAGACAAAAATCCAATCCACTCTTGAAGGCACCGTCTTTCCATCCCCTTTTCATCCACACTACTGAAGACCCTCAAGGCAAGTCGCTTTCTTGAACTATGACAGTAATCAAGCAATGTGTTGTTCGTCTTTTTGAAAGCGGTTGGGACAACTCACTGAATAGAGTGCATCTCGTCCGGGTTTGGGCAACCTGGGAGTATCTGTTTTCATTTTCGTGTTTTTGAAAAGTTCCAGTCATTAGGAAATTTGATAACGTTTTGACCTGACTCGTATGGCACCTATCGCTCCTCGCCTTCTGACAACCTTGTCAGCTTGATATTGCGACAACATCACTGTTAGACACCTTCTTTCATTCGCTTCAGTTACGGAAAACAGAACGATCTCGTTAGCCCACAGACTATCCTTGTTCATCCCTTGGTTTGATTGCTCGATAATTTTCGTTCCATTTGGAATATAAGGAAAACCAGACAAAAATCCATCCCCTTTTCATCCACACTACTACTGAAGACCCTCAAGGCCAACAGAGTCTGCCAATAAGATATTGATTTACTCTTTCACACCTATCTATCCTTTCACTATTGACGTATCCATCTAATGAAAGTCGCACTTGCCGTGACCAGATCGAGCTGCGTTTCAACAACCTTGAGTAAACCGGTGAAGGAGCACTCCTAGTCACGTGATTACGGTGGGAAGATGCCGACATGAGGCAGCCTCACACTAGTTCGTTTGTGCATGACGGTGTGATTTGCGGTGATGTAGGAAAGATCGCCATTGTTTGGACGGAATCATGCGGATGCTTACTGATTTCGGTTTATCAGTAATGCAGTCCCCAAACCCCCTCCCAGCTGGGCTGTTCCCATTTTATGTGTTGGCGTGTTTACATCGAGTACGGGGATGTGCATCGAGCCCGACGCTAACCCATTGCGCGCGACTCGGGGTAGTTCGATATGACAGCCCAACTTGACTACGGATGGACCGGCGCATGCAACCATGGACTCGGCGCGAAGTTTGGACGCTTGTGACAACCAGAGGCACAACAAAAGTTTAACTGGTTGATTTTTGAGGACCGAACGGCCACTAAGAAAAGGTTATTCACAGTTTTTTTTCGCGAGGGAAACTACTCACAAGGTTGCTGAAAACCCTTCGACAGCCCATGACCGGTTTCACCCTTTCATTTCGGGCTCATCAGGCAGGCACAGTCCCCAAGTTTCCATCAACATTATGTTCTACTTGAACCCAAATTGGACTGTTTTCGAGAAATACACTCATTTGCAAATCAATTTGGTTTTCACGAGAGACTCAACTGAATCTCTCATTTATGATATCCTACAACTGAATGTGCTGCACACAGGCCGCCTCATGATTCAGTTGGCACGATATTCGAGATATCGCAGTATATTTTCACAAAGGAAACTACTCACAGTTAAAACTGCGCCACAAGTTATCGAATACAAATTTCTGGCACACTTACATGTCCAGTTGACCTCACCAGTCCTCCACACTGAGAAGTGATAATTTCGGACAATGTAATAACGACTTTTACACATCTGTGTGTGTTAACCTTCACTCTCCTGTTCTATCTGGACCGACTGAAAACTCTGTAGTGTACAAAATCTCCCACCGTTTGTCCTCTAACTTTTATCTCCGTGGACAGTGATGATTCGATATTCCTCGCTCTCCAATACCTAAAGGTTCGACTTCATAACCTTAGGGGAACGGAGATGTAAGGCGTTTTGATCCGGAAACCTGATTGGTAGTTTCAAATTTGAACAGCTGTGAAACACCCTGTCGCATCGATTTAATGGTTCCGTGTGAACAATGTGTTTCACGGCTGCAGTCGGCTCATACCTAACGCATCCAAAACAGGTGCCTACTATTGACAATGAAGTTGTGTTGCCATAGCAAACGAGTTTGAGAGCCGTTCGTCCGCGCTGTGTAGAAACTGGGCTAATCTGTCAACCTTGGATCGCGTGAACCATTCCAGAAGGGCAGGGTTTACGGTGAACTTTTACAAAGTAACCACTACTTGTGATGTAGTGCTAAAACTCTTTAAACATTGTTCGAAATGACTACACTTGATTTGGTTTTTCGTCATATGGCGCGCATCTGCCAAGTCAGAAAAACTAAAATCGATGTAAACTCCGAGACTTTTACGTTGCTAATGGCGGGGTGAGATCCGATTCACCTCCATCTAATGGTGATGATGATGATGATGAAGATGATGATGATGACGATGATGATGATGTTAATGATGATGATGATGACAGCATGGACGTTAAACCGTAAAGGACTATCAGGGTGATAACCAGGAAAGTTTGGCGCTCTTTAAGGAACGGTTTTTACTCCGAACGTCCACGTTCGGAATTTCTTGGTTACTTACTTGCTCTAGAGATTTGACATGTTGCGGCTGTTGCGAGAATAAACGTCGGTGTACAAAATTACACGGCAACTGTTCAGAGTATGGCACCGAAAAAACCACTTGCAAGCAGTTTGTACCATGGAGAATCGAATCAGTTACAGCCTCGTCAGTGTCACGCGATGTAGCGTTCCTTTGATTTTTTTGTCTGGTTCCACTCAGTCGAACTGATCTGCTATTCTCTTTAAGGGTAAATGACTTGACTGAGCCTTACAGACGTTTGTGACCATTTGAAGATAAACACTCGTTTGCGGATTCAAAGCGATTCAAGTGACCATACCAGTTGTGTTATCCTTCAGCTTTCACGTAGCATCAGGGTCACCTGATCTTTCAGTTGGACTATACACACGATATCGATTTGCGCCGTTATGACACTACTTATGAGTAGTAGTATAGTGGAACTTTGATAATGCAGTTTTCACCAACTGAACAAGCAGCAAGGGCATAGTATTGTGTCCCCATTACCGGCCTTACATTGGTTGACCGGTGCTCCCTCACGTCTCTTCGACTGAGCTGAATGTCGCTCAGTTCACCTTTGAACTAGCCGAGCATGGTGTGACTTTCCAACCATATGGGCCACTCCGCTAAATTACCAGCCAAATCGATGCGCTTCCAATACACCTAGCTGACCTTGGACTCTCAGGATCCGTGCACTCAGAGCTGAAGAGAAGTCAGCCGCTCCACCAGACCTGCTTAGTTTCGGAAAACGGTAGTCTCTGCTGAGAAGTAGTAGGGCCACTAGTTTCAGTGCTCTAGACCATTTTGAGGCTTTCGCTTTTCGTCCATTGTTCTCATCCGCCACGGATGAAACCATTGCCCCTAATCAGGGGAGACCATTGGGGTCACAACTCCCCGAGAAACCGTGCTTCCAACTAGACTCACGGCTGGAAGGCTTTTTTGTGAACCCTTTCAACTTTGGACAAGCACGGACCTGTTCGGATGTCATGTGTCGAAATATTGTTCCCTCACGCTTGTTCACGGGCGTGTGTACGCACAGGCAGTATCATTCGTAAGATCATTCCCGCACAGCTGGTCGTTCATTGCCTCAGGTTTGGGGGTAGACAGATGGATGTAGTCCGTACATATCCATAAAAAAAGACCGATCTTAATTACACATGCGAAACCAAAAAAATATCACAAGTCAGTCAGCCAGTCAATCAATCCATCAGTCAGTCAATCGGTAAGTCAGTTAGACAGTCAGCTAGTGAGTCAGACACACCGTCAGTCAGTCAATCATTCATTCAGTCGGCATGTAGGGAGATCTGGAATAAAGCCCATGATAAGTGTTCACACCTCAGTCTTGGTCACGTGGTTCGCCCACAGCAAAAGTCGAATGCCGACTCGTGACTACTCGTCGTGAAGCGTGTTCACGTCTCAGTAGCTACATTCAGAATATTGTTTCAGCCACTGGTGTGGACGATGCGAACGTAACCCCCTCACTCGCAATGCTGTGTTTGTACAAATGCCGTTCGAATCACACAAAACCCGTTTGTTCAATGATTCTGTCTATATAGAACGAGTAATACAAAATGATCTATCTGATCAAGCCGTGGGATTTCATGTACTGGATTTCGGAGCTCACAAGTTCTTTGACAAACACATTCGTTTACAAATCAATTCGGTTTTCACGGGAGACTCAAGTGAATCTCTCGTTTTTGGTTTCAAGTAGAACATCAGGTTGAGGGAAACTCGGGGATTGTGCCCACCTGATAAGCCCGAAATGGAAGGGCGAAACCGGTCGTGGGCTGTCGAAAAGTTTTCAGCAACCTTGTGAGTAGTTTCCTTTATGAAAATATACTGCGATATCTTGAATATCGTGCCAACTGAATCATGAGACGGCCTGTGTGCAGCACGTTCAGTTGTGGGATATCATAAACGAGGGATTCAGTTGAGTCTCTCGTGAAAGCCTAATTGATTTGCAAACGAGTGTTTTTCTCGAAACAGTGCAATTTGGGTTCAAGTAGAACATAAG